TATGTATATGTGTGTGTGTATAGTTTACATGCACACGTACGAAGTGCTAATAAATTTAATGACTTTTTCAGTTTCTATAAGGAAGAAGACACGAAAGTTCATGGTCTACTAAATGTCCATGCATGCTATCAAACGAAATCGATATATATGTATATATATATATAATTAAGATTGTTCAAACAAAGCTAAATGCCCTTCGAGAATAAAAAGTTATGCAATCATAAAATTATAGAAAAAAATTGTATAAATTTTTATTATCAGAACGTTAATAATAAGATCAGAAAATTATCTTTTAACAAAAAAAAAAGATCAGAAAATTATCGATTCAACAAAAATCTATGCACATTAGTTGATAAAAATAGAGATGGTAGTTGTTTGTATATCTATAGAACATATTTTATCGAAGTGTATTCAGTTTCCATCACTAACGTGATGCAATGAATGTATATGTAAAGGTTAATTAATTTTAAATATTTTACTTCGATATATATATATATATATATAATATCAATTGGATCTTAATTTTCCATTTAATTCGCTCAAAAAGGTGAATGAATGAACGGTGTGAAGTGTGAACACCCCACCCGAGGGTGCACAATGACAGGTGATGGACACGTGGTCTATAATAACTGGTTGATTTTGTCGCGTGTGGGACTAAGTTGCCGGCCTGGACTTAAATCATTAAAAAAAAAATCAAATTGACTGTAGAATTCTTTTATTTTCATTTGGACCAACATCGAATTTATTTAAAATGATAATGGTCAATAATTTAATAACTTTACCTTGGGAGAAAACATAAAGCTAGATAGTGGCCATTGCCGCTTCAGGGAAAACAAAAGCGATGTGAATGATTGCGATGAATTCTTGATTTATTGTAAATTTAAAATTTTAAACCAAAAAATGTTAAAAAAAACCAAAGTTTTTTAAAATAATTAGAAAATTTTAAATTAATTTAAAAAATTTTAATTCATCATGACAACGAATAATATAAATTCTCGCTAACTCTTTCTATTTCCATTGGGACTTTTTTTCCCTTTTATATTCTTATATACAAATTTGACACTCTAAACAATGTCTTAAATCACTTACGTAACAACCAATTAGAAAAATAAACTCCATGATTATATATGTTGTTGTGCACATTATAAAAAAGCTTGAAATTATTACAACTGAATATACAACTTAAGATTAATTTATTTTTAGAAGAAAGGACCATATAATGATTAATCAAGAATTAGTTTATAATTTAGTTCTTAACTAAAATTGATTAAGAAAATTAATAAGGTGCGTATGGTCACTGATGATGGTCATCCCCTATCATTGTTTGCAAGCCAATGTCCCTTGTTCCACCAACATTAGGAATAATTGTTATTAGATTTAAGATTCTCGTGCTTATTAATACTTTTCTTTTGGACCATATATAATAATTTTACACCTATAATAGCTTTGGGAAGAAAAATAAAAAAAATTGACTGTATATATCGATCAAATAATAGAATTCGAGAATAATATATTAAAAAATGGGACTTTTCATTTACAATCATTTTAATCAAATAATTAAGCAAATTCAGAGAAATGATGAACTGTTTAACCTTTGGACAGGTTTATGTGTATTCACATTAGGCATAAGATAATTAAGATTAACTTCACGCACAAGAAACCCATTTTCCTTTTCCTTTTGTTTTTTTTTTCTATTCCTTTTCTCTTATATTCATGTAATTAATCGCTAATAGATTCTAAGTTATATAACTTAACAAATATATATTATTTGAGTTCCAAATTACCGCTAATAAAAGTTCCAAATGAATCGAAACATAGCCTGTACTTATCATCTCAAGAAGTTACTTGTTTGACACACACACACACACACACACACACACACACACACACACACACACACACACACACACACACACACACACACACACACACACACACATATATATATATATATATATATATATATATGGCTAATTAGAACAAATATTTGAGCACCGAGATGAAAGATTCAGATTCTAATTAATCTTTATTGAGGAAAAATAATGTATTCCAACGGTCACAATTACAATGATGTAAATCTTTACCTAATCCTATATATATCTCTTCATATGATATATATATATATATACACACTCTATATACACCGAATGGAATCAAAATATATAGTACCATCTAATCTTTTCATTGTATTATATTAGTGCCCTGATAATTTTTTTTCTCTAAATCTGCTATGGTATGTATACGTACGCTATATATATAAGATATTTGAAAGGAAAAAAAACACTACTAGAGGTTCTTTGGCTTGAAACAATGTATTAAATCAACTTTTTATTTTTTCCTTATCTTGTCCGTGGCCGTACGGAAGACCACGAGAGAGAGAGAGATGGATGCACATAAGATTGATGAGCTTTGAAAATGGCTTAGCAATACAACACGGACCACACCTGAAAATCCACATCGGTACGTACACCACGATATTACCATAATGTTCCACGTGAATTTGAACTCATGCATTCAACATATTTTGGACACCCCACGAGCATGTTGATATTACGTATCATCTGTTTTAAAATATATATTCTATATCAGTTAAGGAACAAAACAATACCATATGAAATTGATTTACCTTTTTTCTTAGATTTATTTGTGTTCGGTACTAATGTATAAAAATATATGCAAAATATGTAACAATTGTTTGTTTTCACTTACAAAAAATCTAATATTTTAATGATTCACCGACATGACAATTCTTTCAAACTAAAAATCATTGGACTTCAATCTAACATGGAAATATTACGAGTACATCGTAGTTACTTGAAGTTCTCTAACATTTCTCGCACATAAGATTTAGAACCGGACTAATATATGTGTCAATGTGTGTATATACACTGATTATACGACATATCCAGAATATAGATATCCACCCTTCAACTATCCAAACATTTAATTACAGCATATAAAAGAAAAAGTGCCTATTTTATAGTTATCCACCCTTCAACTATCCAAACATTTAATTACAGCATATAAAAGAAAAAAGTGCTTATTATATAGTTCTATTGGTCTCATTTAACTCTAAATATTTGTCTCCATTGTCATAATAATAAGTATATAGTTATAATAGGAGAAATAATAAAAACCTATTATGAACATAAAATAGAGAAAATTCAACTTCATGAGAATGGAGATCTAATGGCATAATCAAATCATGGACAACAAAATAAATGGGGAAAGTGAAGGAAAAAAATTAAAGGGTATTTTGGAGATTAAAAATTGGAGATACATGTATAGATAAGGACTCCACCAATGAACAAGGAGAAAAAAAAAAGAAGAGGACAAGAGAAGGGATATGTTATATCATCTCTTGAAAGGTGTTTGTCCTAAAAGGAAGATGTGGTTGGGAAGATGTCTATGATTGATGTTACAAGTGAGCAATTGAAAAGTTCATTACATCAAGAAAGAAAATCCACTTAATTTCCATTTGGATTTTTAATATTTGAAAAAGTCATTTAATAGTAATATCCAAATGGAAGATTCAAAATGGAATTACAGTAATTTTTTGTTATTGAAATTAATTTAAACGTATTATACATAACAAATTTTCCATTCCATCAAACCAAACCAATCTAAATTGATCCATATATTTTTTTTTACATTTCAATCGAATTAAACCAAACCAAACCAGTCTAAACCGATCACAATTCAAACCGATCTGAATCAAACCAAATCAAAATCAATCAATTATTATAATTTAAGAAAATGGTGTTTTGGAGGGTGGGGGGATGGAAACAATGGTAGATGGGGTAGGGAGTGAGGGATGTTGACAAGGCAGAGACACAACTGCCCTTTTTGGTTTTGGATGTTATTTCTTTCTGGTATGACCTGTCTCCTTTATTATTTGTAACATTAATTACGATTATTAACTATCTTGAGATAAATTAATTGAAGGTGGACAAACTTATGTTACATACATGCACACAAATATTTTCTTTTTACGGTCAAACATTTCCTGAAATCCATATACTTACCGGTCCCTACATTGTATTATACGGACATCTGCAATAAATTAACACAATAATAAATGTATAACACGAGTAATTTGTCGGAAAAATAATATCCGCCCGATCGAGTAATTATTTTTAATCTAATTTTAATTTATTAAACAACGAATAGCGAAGAGACCTCAAGCTAAGCCATATGATCATTTGTCCAAATTCATTGGACGACTACAACTACTTTGTTAGAGAAAAAGATTTGATAAGTTGCAGTGAATTTGGTCCAATTACAATCTTTGATATAGATTGGCAATATTGTTTTTAATAGATAAATTTTTATTTTTTTATAAAGATAAATCGATATTTAAGAGTATTTAAGACTATTTTTCATGTATCATGAAGTTAGACCGACAAAGTGATTATTGGTATTTTTACGACCGTACCATTACCTTAATATATGGTAATGTGCAAGGGGCTTATTAAATGAGTATAATCTTAATTAATTATGTTAAAATTTAAGATACTTTTAATAAACAAAAATAAAAAGAAAGAAGACCGAATTTAATTAGTCTACATGGCATAAAATCATAATGTTGACCAAATTCGATTAATGGAATTTTACCGCCCAATTCCACTTGGTGTACATGTGACCGATAGTTGACCAAAGGAGACAGTGTTTAGCAAATAGGAAATAAACAAACCTTAATACATGTATATGTAATAAAATCAGTAATCATGAGGACGTATATACATTACAACATTGACAAACTACACTATTTACATAATTTATAATATGAAAAAATGGAAAAGAAATTAACGTATAATCTAAATCCACATGTCAAAAACCCCTGTCCCCACAAGAAGAAGAAGAAGAAGAAGCAATGACATGCACATGCAGATACACGAATACATACACAGCATACCAATCCCCACAACACAGTCCTCTCTCTCTCTCTCCTCCCTTATATTATTGCCCTCCTCTCCCTCCTTTCCTCTTCCCTCTTACCATAACTCTCTCTCTCTCTCTCTCTCTCTCTCTCTCTCTCTCTCTCTCTCTCTCTCAAAGAGATCAAATCCACATTGAGTAAGAGGTATAAGTTCAACCAGTGAAGACCCACAAACATGATCGGCGAGCTCATGAACATGAAGGAGACCGAGCTCTGCCTCGGCCTTCCCGGCGGCGGCGGAGGAGGAGGAGAGGCGGAGGTGGTGGCGGAGAGCCCTGCGAAGGCGGCGGGGAACAAGAGAGGATTCTCCGAGACAGTTGACCTGAAACTGAATCTTCAGACAAACAAGGAAGGCGTTGTGGATCTCAACAACGTTGCCAAGGACAAGTCTCTCTTGGTCTCCAAAGACCATGCTAAGCCTCCTGCTAAGTAAGCCCTTCTTCTTTTCTTTTCCGTTTTTTTGGATGAAATGTTAAATTTTATTCATCAAACCGCACAAGTACATAGTCTTGATCTTTATTTACGTCGATTTCAAGAACCTGTCCCGTGAGATTAGAAGATTAACATTGTTATATACACCCGAAACCACAAGTTCATATTTTGTTTTTGGTTTCAAGAATAGTGATGAAACCAATAAAAATAACTGAAGGATTTTTCAAAATCAAATACTTTATGTTTGATAATATACAAGAATATTGCTCTCTTTTTTTCTACCATATGTACAATTTGAGCTAGAATTCTTTCTAAGCATCAATTTTAATTTTTTCATTTTGTGGAACGGTTCAATAAACATCAATTATGCAACATGATAATGATTGAACAAGGCTTGTCGTTTAGATACAGTCGGATCAAAAACCATGTATTTACCACGAAAGATGATGTTATTGTATGTATAGGGCACAAGTGGTGGGTTGGCCTCCGGTGAGGAACTACCGGAAGAACATGATGGCTCACCAGAAGAGCAGCGCCGTGGAGGAGGAGAAGGCGGCGGCGGCCTTTGTGAAGGTCTCCATGGACGGAGCTCCTTATCTCAGGAAGGTCGACCTCAAGATGTACAAAAGCTACCAAGAACTCTCTGATGCTTTGGCCAAAATGTTCAGCTCCTTCACCATGGGTACGCTTATACATATACATATACATCCGTATATATTCACTTTATACGTGACCTGGAAATGTTTTGTCCTCCATAGTTAGATAACTAAATAGTTAAAGAGAGAGAGAGAGTTATATGGTCAGTTATAAAGAAACAAGAATATTACGATTCGTAGGTCCATGTTTATGTATGTACACATACATCACATGCATGTCCAAGCCCGTTCATACAAATCTTGAATTTATCCAAACATGGCATAAAAATAGAAGAAACCCAAATTTGAGAAATAATTAATCTTTCATAGTGATTCTATATATTCTAACTATGAAACTATTTCTCGAGAGATCTATAGATAGAACAAATTTGATTAATTACCCAAAGAAAACGTTATATATATATATATACACATGAAATTTCTTAAGAATAGAAGTTGTGATCGTGTGTGAATTGTAGGGAACTATGGGGCACAAGGGATGATAGATTTCATGAACGAGAGCAAATTGATGGATCTATTGAACAGTTCCGAGTATGTGCCAACCTACGAGGACAAGGATGGTGACTGGATGCTCGTGGGCGATGTTCCGTGGCAGTGAGTCTCCTTCTCAATTCATGTTTATTCTTATAATCCAATTAATTCATTTCAATTATTAACTAACTTCGAATTCGGTCCACCGATTTATAAGCAAGAATAATAATAATAATCAAGAAATTCCATATCCACAACTGTGCATGGGTTGGCGTATATGGGACAAGAGAGGTTCTTAAATATATCAAAACGTTAGCTCATTTATAGCTGGCGAAATCCATATACTTGTGTTATCTTTATTATTGGCTAAGATGCAATAAATTACGTGTTCGTTCATCAAGAACAAATAATGATGTTATGGACCGACGTCTAAACCGAAACTCGAATTTTATTATTCAGAATGTTTGTCGATTCGTGCAAACGCTTGCGCATTATGAAAGGATCCGAAGCCATCGGACTTGGTAAGTTTTCTTCCCTTTATATATTATGTATGTATCTTAAAAACTTTGGTGTATATATATATATATATAGAGAGAGAGAGAGAGAGGGCTAATCGTTTAATTTTCACAATTTGGTTTCAGCGCCAAGAGCTGTGGAGAAGTGCAAGAACAGATCTTGAATCATCAAGAAATATCCATGAAGAATATATAATAATGGTTTTTATAAGTTTATTTTGTATTTTTTCTTATGTGGTTCTAATTTCAAGATCTGATGGGTATATATAGTTATAGTATTACCAGAAAGATGTGGACAATTTGTAATGTGACCATAAGAGAGAAACTTACAATCTCTGTGTTTGTGTCATATTTATTGCCGAACATGTGTTTGTCTGGTTGATTGATATATATATATATATATATGTATGTATGTATGTATGTAGAATCATTCATACTTACATATACGTACATAGTTACATACATGCATATGTATGTATGTATGTTTCATATATGTGTTGGCCTGTATATAGTCTGATTGTTTGTCGTTTCTTTTGTGTTATATTACTATCATGCAAAAGTTTAGTTTGTGATCTTTGTACTTTAATAAAAATGTTTGCTGCTTATTTTTCTCTCATGATATAGTATTATCATGTATTCCTATTTAAGTTAGCTTAAACTTTTTGTATCATATACTTTTAATAAAAATATGAATTGTAGAAAATTATGATATGATTTTATTATAATGTCCATGCCGTTAAAAGTACCTTTCGTAGAGATGTTTAAAAATTTTCATAAATAAATATTTGACGTGGAAATATGATAACATATATGTTAAATAAAGATTTACCAAGAAAGTGGAAAAGGCTACTACAATATATGTGACGTGGTGCAGGGTCAATATTTAGTTTCCCATAAAAGGAATCTAATTGAATTAAATAATATCTAAAAATTAACAAGTAAATTTTTCTTGAAATTAAATTAGTTGAATTCAGAATAAGATATGAAGAGCAATATTTTTAGGAAATTATTACTGTTTAATGTTTTAATAAAAGAAATAAATCCAAATCGAATATAAATCTAAATGAATTAACATAAAAAAAAATTGAGAGAAAAATCGAAATGTAAAAATAACCACATGATTTGAGTTATTTTCATGTAGTTTCATAATAATCCATTTTTATTAACAAATTCATATTATTATTATTTTTGATAATCCGGAAGTTCACCCCAACTATATCTCCCAGAGGATCAGGGAAGTCCAGGTGAATACACCTCCCCACGCTTAGATTTGAACCCAAGATGAGAGCATGTTTTGCATGTTCTCTTACCACTAGGCCACATAAACTTGGATAAATTCATATTATTCTTACGTAGAAAATATTGTTATCTCGAAGGAATAGATGAAATATTTTTGTGTAAAAAAATATGGAAAACAAATTTATATTTTGAGCTTTGAACGTGTTTTTTTTTTAATCAAGAAAAAAAAATAGTTTTTGTGATTTTGCGAATTGGTTCGCTGTTGAAACTAAAAAAAGACCATCCAAATTTTAAATTATGATCCTACTATTTTAATACAAGTCGAAAATTATGGAATAATGTAATTTTTCTTAAGTTTGAGGAATTTTATTAAATTCAGGACCAACGAAAGCGGCAGGGAACAAGAACATGTGCATGTTCATGGGTCCTTTCATTCATGGCCATTACGTTATTGTACCCTATTTTCCCGATCACGAGAAGCAAATAAATAAATTTCAACTTGTTTTATAATTTTATGTCTCAAATTATGTGTCACGTTACTATTTTTTAATATGCGCATATATATATATATAATATTTAACCAAGGTGGAATTCCATGGCCCTTCAAAAGATTAAAAAATAAATAGATAATTATAAATCAGCATGCAAAATATCTCAACCTTCTGACTAAGTATTTTTTAACCGATATGATGGTAATATTTTAAAATTATTTTTTTTTTAATTTTTTTTAATTTGTATCGTTTATTGTTAGGATTTTATCATTGAGTTATTATCTTGAATATTATTATTTATATTTATTTCAGATTGCAAATTTTTCTGTAACTTTAAAAATAAAAATTTCTTCAATTTTTTCAAAAATTTTCATATGATTTAAAAGCAGAAAAGAAATACACGTATCGCGTGGAAAACATCACAGTAATAAATAATTGCAATATGCATGATCGGTATGCAACCTTTTTTAAAATGTAATTTGATGATTGAAGCTTGATGGGTATTTTTCTTGGATCGGGTGCAGTGATGAAATTCTCGGCTATATATATATATATATATGAGTTAAGATTGTATACGTTGTGAGAGACCTTTTTTTTGGTAGAAAAATCTTGCCAACTCAGCCCTGAATTACAGTTTTATTATATAAAAATATATTCAATCCCACTAATACGTATACCCACATTTACATTATTACACGAAAAATTCAAATTAATCCATAAATATTTACCATTAACTCTTAAATTTATATTCACATATAATAACATTGACGCACTAAATGTTCCCCATACATTCCATATCAAAGTGCTTCACATCGGACAACTTATTTTGTTCCATATATATGTATATTGTATGCTTTATTGATGTTATGTTATGCGGATGGTTTCAGCTAAAACTAAGACACATTTTTGTGTTGCGCACATACATACATACATACATACATACATACATACATACATACATACATACATACATACATACATACATACATGCATGCATACATACATTACATACATACATGCATGCATGCATGCGTACATTACATACATACATTTTATGTATGGGCCGAGTGACGAGTGATTCTAGCAAGCCCATTTTCCAATGTTAGGCCCAATTATTATTTCTTTAATATTTATGGCATTTCCCCCTGAAATTTCTGTAAACTTCTAGAATATCGATGGTCTTTGTCGATATGACGTGATATATAAATAGATATATCATGAATAGAGAGAGGTTGATTATTTAATAATTGAATGAAGATAATTTTAGAGGTGTTGCGGTGGTTTACATGTCATAATCAAAGGTAATGGCACGTCAAATGGACCGTCGTAAGCCCCCAAAAGCAACGAAACATCCAACGGGTACAACTGGAAATTTCTGTTTGGAATTTTTCGTCAATATATAAATGTTTAAATCTTTAATCCATCTTAATTAATTTCATCCCACGTTTATTAATGTATTTTTTTAAATATATATGATACAATACAAGCATAAGTTCGTATATTGGACTTGCATCAATCAAGTCTTTGGAATTAGTAATATAGAATTTTTTTTTGTGGTGACATATGTTGAATTTTATTTTATTTTTTACTTTTAAAATGTGTGTGTGGGATATAAATTTAGTGTGTGAAGCGACGGTTCATTTTATTTCGAATAAGATAGATGTTGGGTTATATGCTAACATCGTTAACAAAACCCTAAATTAAAACCTTAAATTACAAAAAAAAAAAACTTATTTTCTTTTTACTAAAAGCTCAAAGAGATATGCTATTTTACTAATCTTAATAACTATTTTTTGGACTATCTTAACAAAATTTCCCTATTTATAACCACAAATATCTTTTAATTTCTTAAAAATTTGGTCAAAGAGAAGAGAATTCAGGAAAAGAAAAAAAGATAATACGATTTTACTAATTTTAATTATTTTTGAGACTATCTTAATAAAATTCCCTATTTATTAATTCAAAACATCTTTGAATTTCCTAATAAAGTTTTGGTCAAAGAAACGAAAAATTGGGAACTTTAATATATGACTCAGTAATACAGCTGAGCCACTCAAATAAAACAGCTAAGTTTGCCTCTTTCAAGCTTTGACCGTCTTCCACGCGTGTAATGGATTCCACACACACATATATATGTATGTATACACACAGATTCACAAGCACATATATACGCACACATACACCCATATTCCTGCTTATACAACCTCTCTCCCGCACGCACAGAACCACATAACTCATTTGGAGCCTTTTTCCTTTTCCCAAAACATCTTCTCGTTTCTTCTTGCCCATGTCGCCGCCGGAAAGAACCACAAGCTCTGCCGCGGAAAACCGCCGGCAAACAAGCCGGTTACAGAGACGAGCTCCGCCGTTGAAAATCACTCCGGTACCGGCGGGTGAATGGAACGCCGCCATCCCGCTCCTCTCTCTCAAATTATGTGTCACGTT